AAAATTGTTAAAAACATTCGACAAAAATTTTTTTATACTCTCAAGAAGTGCATTAATAAATAGGCAAACCTTTATTCACGTTAGACATTTCGTTCGCTAAAAAAAAATTCCCAAAATATAGTACTTTTTTAGAGTTTCACAGTGGAAAGACCCCTTAAATGTTTATACGTGATTATTTTTCTAAATATCAGAAATGCGAAAAAATGTTTCAGATGAAAGTTGTATGGTATCGAGGAGGACATATTATGATGATAATTGTTTGATCTTGAGATAACACTGGAGAGTCCTGTGAAGGTCACATTTAACCTTTTTAAATAGAACCCTACATTTTTTATTGCACAATCTTGTAGCTAATATTTAGACGTATTTAAAACATTACCTATTTACACATGTATTTTTTGAAACCCGTTATTGAGTTATTAATATTTTAACAAACAGTACGTAAATGGATTTTAGTTTTTACACTGGCACTTCCTTCATAATAGAGGGAACATTTGGTCAAAAATGGAAGAATTGGTTTGGTATAAATGGATAGTTCAGTCACGTGAGAAGAACCTTTAACCCTTTCGCTGCGACTGATTTTAATACGAAACTTGTGTGGCAGGCAGTACATTTTTAACCATGACTGCAAAATTTCCTGTTTTAACAGTATCGTTTTAAAATTCGGTTTATCAAATTAAGGTAGAAGCGTGTAAAGGATGAAATTATGTATTAAATTAAGATGGAAGTGCACCAAAAGGCTCCAACAGTATAGTGGAGGCAAATTTTCAAAACGCCTATAGGCACAGATAGCAATAAAAGGGGGTTAAGATAGAGACATAAGGGGAGATAAGAAGCCAATAGACAGTCTGATCGACGCGGCATAGCTGCAACCTGATACAGCCAGCAAGGGAATACATATATCGGAGTGTCAATCACCGATTTTGATGAAATTTAAGTATGATGTAGTTCTCATAAAAATATTTGACACGTATTCTTTTTTATCGGCAACTATTCATGTTAAACCTTTTGAGTGCTATGAGCGCATATATGCGTTTGTCAATGTTTTCGATCTCCCGTGTAGTGTAGTTACAATTATCTTTATATGAGATGGACACATGTTTTCCTTAGCTACCTATGAAGAATAGATGCGTGTTGTTTAATTTGGTGTAAAAGAATTACAATAATAACTTATTGTTAGTTGCGCCTTGTACACTCAATCAACAGAGTTCACACTAGCAAAAAAGTATTCCGGCACCCTTGTACACTCAATCAACAGAGTTCACACTAGCAAAAAAGTATTCCGTCCATACGGAGAGCTTTGGCAGGGAGTATTCAGCATTCAAAGGGTTAAAGGGATGAAAACCACCCCCAAAGTTGAGGCTGCGAAACTTATTTCGACGAATATCTCGGAAACTATTAGAGATAGAGTAATTGTGTAAATTGATGCAATTAGTATCTTTTAACGACGAATTCGATGGTATGAACTATTTTACTGTTACGTACGCAGCCTAGCCGACACGGTGGCGCCGAGTCTTTAGTCTATCGCGCACCCCCTAGAAAGCCCTTGAGATAGGGCAAACGAACGCATTCCATTCCCATCGTTTTTGGATGGAAAAAAGTACATTGAATGACTAACGAAGAAACCAGAAATCCTTCCAACACTTTTGTTACATCGCAAGAAAACACGACGAACCCTCGGTCTGGTGGATCACATTTGGCCGCCAGATCAAGGTACCGTACTCCTCATGAAGAGGTCCACGGCCGCGGCGGAAAAATTGTTTTAGTACCCTGCAAGACCTACAACAAACCCCAAAAGATTAAAGTAGCTATTTTTTAATAATAATCCCCTTACCTTGAAAAGACCGGCATCTCACTGACACCGACAAGTCGGAACAAGCCTATTCACCCCACACACGTCAAAAACCACCAATCGACATCTAGCATACTTGATAAAAGCGAGACCATCAAGCAACAGCGCATCTTTTGAAACATAGTTCGATAGTCAACCGCAACCTAGTTCAAGTATCGCCATCCCTCTTCGTTCGCAAATAGTTGTTTTACACAAAATTAAAAACCTTAATTTAGTTCTCTAACATTGACATGGAGTATCACCAAGTGTAAATGCTTTCAAATATATGCACAATAAAAAAAAGGTAAAACTGAAATAGTTGGTGATTCATTGTAGATATGGTTCGTGCAGGAACAACGAAAAGGAACACCTCTTATTGTTAGTGTTAGTCTAAAAAAGCAACACGGTGTGCATTATTTCAGTGTTTGTGGTGAAAAATTATCGGCAGATCAAAATGCTGCAAATGAATTTTCAAAAAAATTTGTGGATATTATACACGAAGAAAATTTTAGTCCTGAGCAAGTTTACAGTTTAGATGAAACGGATTTAAATTTTAAACTACTTTCAGAAAAAACAGTAACAATGTCACAAGAAAAAACTGCTACTGGATTCAAAGCAAACAAAGGGAGAATCACTGTAGCTCTTTGTTCTAATACTGCTAGAAGTCATAATTGCTTCTCTTTGTATAGGCAAAGCAGTTAAGCCAAGAATATTTAAAAATATTATTGATATTCTACCAGTTTACTACAAAACTCAAAAATCACCATGGATGAATTCTTTTTTATTCGAAGAGTGGTTTACAAATGAATTCGTTCCAAAAGTTAAAGCACACTTAACGCAATTGAAACTGCCAATCAAGGCTATTCTTCTCCTTGATAATGCACCCACGCATCCAACAAATATTTCTTCTTCGTTTTTAGCACCTACTGTTACATCTTTGATACAACCTATGGTTCAAGGTGTGACAACCTGAAAAACGTTACGGGAGGAAACTTCGATCAGAAATACTCAAAATAATGGCTAACCAAGAAACACAACTTATTGACGCCCTTAAGAAAATTAATATTAAAGATGTTATTTATATGTTGGCATCTGTTTTTGAAGAAATGCCAGCATCGACATTTTTAAGATCATGGAAAAGATTCACTGAACAAAACAAATTAGAAAAAGAGCTGTGTACCGATGATCGAACAGATCACGATAGTAATATTGCTTTGTTCAATGATTTAAAACATTTACCTGGATGCGAAAACTTAGAAGTGGATGATATCGCTGAATAGCTTATAAATGATAATATTGTTGCGAGCACCGTATGCAGAATAGATCAGCTAAATGGGATCACCTAAATATCCACCTTATTTGTTATTGTATGAAAAAACTTCTCAGAACAAAGTTACACTATTTCAGGGGGCATATGTAATCGTGGAAACGGTGTTTTATAGGACCCCCC